GACAATTCAAGAATGGGATGAAAAGTTGCTTGAATGGACGACATCTTTAGGTGATTAGTGAACATTCGATTTCAGGAAATATTCGACAATTTGACTGCTTTGTGAAGGTGTAAGAGGGCGAACGAACGAAACAGCCTTTCACAGCAGTTATTATTCGAGGATTCTGAATGCATCCCGTAGTGAAACGGAATGAGATCAACTGAATAAATCAGCAAACAGCCATGTATCAGCATGCGATCCGCATAAATGAGATGACTGATGCTTACTGATGCAAATGAATAAAATTTGGATAATTGTTTTAGAATGAATAACAGCAAACAATAAATCTAATAACATTCTCCATTTGCCTTACAGATAGCACACAATCTCGTTGCTTATTTGGTGCTTCTTCTTCTCGTTTACCATTCGATATGCGTAGAAATCAGCATAAATTCCATTTTGCACAGCATTTTGGAAATGGACAATCAAAAGGAATCTTCATTGATTAGCAAAAATGATTTTTTTGATTCATTGGGTAGTTGACGAGAATTCTGCTTCGAGTTATGACATATGCACCTTTGCTTGATGAGGGGTCCGATAACCGCACTTCGATCGGGCTCCAGCTCAAGTTTTGGCCTAAGCGCAATTTTGCAGTTCGACTTTGGTTTACGATAGAGGATTGAATCAAATGGTACAGATTAGACGTGACAATGTTCTTTTGTCTGATGTCACAATATTGTCACAGTCATTCTGATGGCTTATTGATTTACCATATCGGTGAGTGTCCGATCATGTGAGGTTACTTCTCGTTTTACATCCTTTTTTCAATTCTGCCATATTCGCCGTGAAACAAACCAGAACAGTATCTATCAACTAACGGCATCACGGCTATTCGACTATCTGGTCAATCTAATAACTGCATTAATTACCTGGCTCTAAATATCACCTGCCATGTAGATAAACAACATACGGTAGTGATAAAATTGTTTGAAAGGATGTAAAAAATTTCGTGATACTCTACGATACGATCTTTGCTTAGCTTACGGCAGAGAAAAGTTTCAGTTATCATCAGATAACAATTTTTACATTCTGAAACTTTGTTAAGAGTAGATATTCAAGATCTGAACAGATATCAGACAAGCATTCGTTAACAGCTAGAGTTAATATCCAATATTCAACTTTAAAAGGAGATGAATCACTGAAATGATGTAATAAAACTGCAGTTGTTTGGTAGCTTAAAGACGCGTCGATAATATTCGATTATGAAGAATATCAAGACGCATTATTAAACGATGAGTTGCTTTGTCACATTCGAAATATTCTTCTGAATAGCAATCACAACGATAATATTACATTATAGAAATGATATTAGTGCTCAATGAACGTTTGATTATTGGATTATGCAAACATAAATAAATAAGTAAATAAATGAGATTCAGTTACCTGGCTGGTTATTGCCGAAACAGCAGCCACAGTGCTTCCGTTCAATGCACTACTCAGACCTTCACTCATCGCAGATTTAATTTGTATCTTCTCGATTGATTCAATATATATATATTTAATATATTAACTCGATTCTGGCTGCCCGATCCAATGAAAGAAAGCTCGTGTCAGTGCTGTTCGCCACTCGACAACATCTCATATTCATCACTTCATACGGTACCCATGCACCGTTTCACTCTCTCTGCACCCACCTAATCGCACACACTATCTCTTCGGCTCTTTGTTGAGATCCGCCTTAAATGGATGTTGATTGGTTTAGCTGTCTTGATTGTTAGACTCTTCAAGTTGATTTGATTAGGGATACACATCTTTCTTCTGAGCAGCGTTTCTCTCTTGAATAATCTATCGCACAAATAGGTGAATGCGCTCTGCATGCGTCAGTAAGCCAATAATACATTCATATAAGGGTACTAGAAACGATAACGATTACGCAACTCTACATGATATTATATTAACAAATTCACTTTTTGAACTACCGACGACCGATCAGCTGGGTTAATAATAATGATTTAGATAGGCATCGCTCTTCAACTGCAATACCAATACATGTAGTATCTGTACGAAGAGGGCTAGATTACCATCTGTTCGATGATTCTATATTGGATTNNNNGATGAATGTAATTCAATGTGACAACCATTGTAAATGAACCTTTCATCGTACTTATCAAACAATAATACTGATCGAATGTGAATCAAACTCAATAACTCCTTATTATGAATTTTTGATTATTATTCCCTAATCCAGATCGATTTCCGTTCCATTCTCTTTCCGTTATGAATTCGGCATCACGTCTTTTTCTTTTTCTCCTTCTTGTTGTTGTTGTTCTGCATTTAAGTCCTTTCTCACCGAAATGCCATACCTAAACCACATTTCATTTACGTAATGTACAGTATAAATGCTGGAATGCCCAACGGATTGACGGGAATCATAGCTGACGAAGCAGAATCTCGTGATGATCTTTGGCAGATCGTTCTTTGTTTGTTTAACAGATTAAAAAGATAACCGTTCAAGCTGCTCGCAGAGTGGCTCAGCTGGACAGTCGGACATCAAGTCTCGACCTTCTTTACTCTTCGGGAATGCGATCACGTCACGTATCGCAGTGCTCGTATCACCCTCACCCATCAACAATGCTATATAACGATCCAGTCCTATTGCAAATCCACCGTGTGGTGGAGCACCATACGAGAGTGCTTCCAGTAGATGATTCTTAACAAACGATCGATTCTCATTTCGGAACTGAACTGATCTGATCACTTTTCTTTATCCACTTTATTTCGACAAATTTTGTTTTTCTAAACTGATCGGTTATTTCACGAACAAACGAACCAAATTTTCGGCAGATTCGCCCAAAATCTTCTCGATGACATATCTTTGCATATCTGCATTATGAATACGAATCGAACCACCACCCAGTTCAACACCATTCAACACCAAGTCGTAATGCTGCGCTAAAGGTTAAGCTGGATGGATGCGATCCTCCTCGTACACAACACAAAACAATATCTCATCTCAGAACAACAATCAATTCAATCTTCTCTAAATCGTTTCAGTCAAATAATGAACAAATCTGCAGCAGTGAATTGTTTCAAGTGACATTCACAAGCCAACAGCTTGTTCCAGATAAAAACGATTTGTGATTCAAATACATTTGAAGATTATGAGCTTTGGCTATTGCCTTGCTAACAACATTTTCTGTTGATGTTTGATGGGTTTTAATGGAGTTTCTTTATGAGTGGACAGAGGTCGCACCCTTGATATTGAGCAATTGATTTGCATCGTACAGCAAATGCTCGTGCTCGCGAATCGGTGCTGTGAACGGATGGTGTGCACTCTCGAGCCGACCAGCTTCCAGCTCGTTTCGAACAAACAACGGAAAGTCGGTGATCCACACGAAGCTGAACGCTGCCTTCGATCTCAGACCCATCTGATTGGCTATCAAGTGTCGTAACTGACCCAATGTCCACTGCACATTCACCTCTTCACCCCAACTGCAACACATTCCTTCTCTTTCTTTAAACTGAACTCAATTCTACAATCCCAAGCTTTAATCCATAAAGTACAAATTTTATACCATATAACGACTGCATCCGATTCATCGATATCGTATGCTTGCATGAGTTGTGAGTTGGAAATTTGCTTGAACCACTGCTTTCGTGAGGAGGTGAAGAGATCGAATTTCTGCAAGATTAGATGGAGATTGCGATCGGATGATAAGTGGACAAACAGTAGTGGGAATCATTCGATCCAGAAAAGAAGATTCAAATCCTGACGCTAGTTTCTGCTATAAAATATTGATCTGAGGCACTGAATCAACTTACGATCCCCGTTCTCTTACCATTGAATGCAATCAATGCAACCGATTACCTGTGCCCTTTGATTCATGAATATGATTCGTTTCCATTCCGATCTAAGTCTTCTTGTTATTCTCGTCGCCATCCCCTTTGCTACGAACAACCTCGCAACAAATTTCTTTATCGTGTCACTCTTTAAAAACGCCAAATGCTCACTACAGTCAGCGATAGTCCATGGAATACGTAGATCTGGCTTATCGATACCATACAAACGATCCGCCTCGGCGAATGACATACGTTTGAATGGTGCACACGGTTTCATTTGTTCCTTGAAAATAAATCATGCGATCGGAGAGTATATCACTGGTAAATAACGAGACTTGCTTGAAACAACAACATCTCGGCAATATAAAAAGCAGTGTCGCCTGCAGAAGCAAAAGCCACGAACCAAGTGGTTTGGCCATGATGCTAAGATAAGATCTTCAATGAGTTGCATAACGCCGTTCTGAGTGGTGAACGACAGCTCCACATCGATCTGTGTGAATTCAGGTTGTCGATCAAGTTTCGAACCTTCATCTCGGTAGCAACGAGCCACCTCAACATTCGATGCATCATGGTATAATTGTTTAGGTATGATTATGCCTCATATCAAGTCCAAATGGAATTTGATGCATTACAATAACAATATGCAATGAGAAATGCAATCAATCAATACAATGCTTCTTATAGAACAGCAGTGATCAGGATTGATTAGAGATGTGATAATTGTGGTGCAATCAGCAGACCAGTAATTCTCCTACAAAATCAGTTAGTGGCCGTCATTCACAAATCGCACGAAGAAATTTGAACAGTGATGAATGCTCAGCTGCCATATAAGACATTCAAGTGGTAGATGAACGGGATCAATGTAATCGTGAACGCTACTTGAAAGTATCGATCCAGCCCGCCGCACATAAGCAACTGTTTGAACTGCTGTGGACTTTGTGGCAGCGAATAGAATTTGCCTAGATTCGGTTTCGGTGCGGGCACGATGAACTCGTTCGCACCACCCGGAGTACGACGAAACAACGTCGGCGTTTCCACCTCAACGAAATTCACTTCTTCGTGAAGAAATTTTCGCATTGAATTGGTCACTTCAGATCGCAATCTGAATATATCAGATGAACGACCGAATTAAGACCACTAAAAAAACTATAATTTTGATCTGTCATCTGCCAGATCACTCTTTTGGAATGTTGTTGTCTTGGATGAATTCTATCATAAACGAGAAATTCAACTGAGCATGTCAAGTTCAGACGAGCTTCAAGCTTGACTCGTCAATAAAAATGCAAGACGATCATCGTACTGCAAAAGCACCTCAATGCCTTCTGCATACGCTCAGTGCGCAGATGCAGATAGCGATATCGAAGACGAGTCTTATCGAGCGATTCGCTCTCAGAACGAGATGAGTATGGTAGTTGTTTGGGTGCATTGTTCACTATTTGCAAGTCATCCACTAACACCTGAATAAAAGAAGTCTTAATGAATTAATTGTGAAAAGATATTGTTTGTCTATGAGAGCATTTAATCTGTTTATAGAGTAAGTTAAGAGCATCCAACTGGAAATCAGTAGATTGTAGTTTTGAAAGCCCTTTGCAGTGAAGCTTTTGTTTGAAAGCGAATCGCTATTGAGCCTGAGTCATGCAGTGAATCGACTCAGTTTTAGTTATCTATTGATAGATGTTTTCAACATGAATGAAATAATGAGTAGCATTTAGTGGTGCAAACACAATGAATTCAAAGAAAGCTCACTAGAAAATAACCAGAAATACCTCAACATCACCAGTTTTCATATTTGCATTTCGATTGGCCGCACCTCGATCTGCTACCGTACCACTCACTTTCAGCACACACTCATAGTTCGCTTCATCCACTAATTTCATCAGATCTTGACGCATTTCAGGGATTCGTATTTGTACGCTACCGTAAGCGTCACGCAGCACCACAAAGCGATTGTTCATNTACTTTTCAGTGCTGTAATCTGTGTGGATGCTAAGAGTGGATGCGATGAGATGACTTCGACGGATCACCATAGCCTCCACCTTGTAACTGTGAAAAGCCTGACAGCGTCTGAACGCATGAACACTTCTCGACGAATGCTCTACTCAGCCCTCATGACAGTGACTACTCATTAACAACGCAATAAACTCGGTCAAATGAATAATCGCTTGCTGCACTCACCTTTATTCTGCACGCGTAATTCACCGCAATTATGACTTCTCAGCGTATAAGCATTCAGTGAATTCAAATTACGTTTGTTCAATACACGAAATAAACGACGACTCGACAACAGCAGTTGCGCACAGTATGAGATTGGAGTGCACATTAGCGGCGGTTACATTCGATTTCTTGAATTTATTCAGTGATCAATGGCATTCCATCATTTGTACATTCACCGCTCAGTGACTAATTAACGCAAATAAATCAATTTGATGCAAAATGATAGGCGCACAGCGCAGATTCATAGGATATCTTTTCTATATTTCATTGGATTTACAGAGTATATCCATCAGTAACAACAGCTAGCAAAGCACCGTCAAGATATATATCAAATAAAGTTCGCGTTGCTAGCGAATACCAAAAACTGTCGTTCAGATGAAAATCGACAGAAATAATGAATTTATTAAATCCCCGATTAGTGCCAAATCATTGAGTAACAAAAAAATTCAATACAAAACAACAGTAACAAACGAAACCAAAAGCAAATATACGTAACAACTTATCACAGTTTAAAACGGAATTCTGAGTTAGTTGAAACAAACACAGAAATAACTGAACAAAACAACGGAGTTTTGGTGTACATTCAGATGTGAAAAGTAATAAGAAGAGGTATCATTTGAGCATGTGATCGATCGGCCAGCAGCATACGTCAATCTCAATGAAACGACAACACAGCCATTAGTGAGGCTGCTGAACGTTCGCGGGAAGCACCTGACCAAGACCAGTGAATAGAGACCAGAACGATAACGGTTCCGAAGATAACAACTCGTAATGTTGAGCGGTAAGCGATCGATATCGTATTGATCCAAAATGGATTTCGTCAACTGCGTCAAACACTTGCGAAGTATCGATATCGGATACATCTGAAACACATCAATTAAATTAAGTTTGATGGTTAAGGCAAATATGGCATTCTTTTGCATGATGATTACCCGGCCATTCATTACTATATTCGTCCTCAATTGAAGGCTCTTCATCGACTCTACAAATCGGACCATCGATAGTCGGAATGTTGTGCTGAGGATATAAATAATTGCTGTGGATAAGAGCGATGAAACGCTTAAAAGCGAACGAATCGAAGCGTTGATCGACCACAACACAGCAATTCTGAAACATTCAACAGATAAAACCTTGCAAAAAAGAACACCTTTCAAATAACTTCGATCCCCTCACCTGACATTCCACAATCGGAATGAACATCTCACTGATTCGTTTCTGCTTCTCCAAATTGTCGATATTCTTAAAATGTTTTGAGGCGCTCAAAACCGATTTAATATCGCTGTCCATTGCCTTCAGCGCATCCAACAGTTTCTTGGCCAGGTTCGATTTTCGGCGTTCCTTGAATGGATTATTGCTAATCGAATCCGAAAACGAACAACCGCCAGACTCAGTAACTCAAACAAAAGCGCAAGTAATACCTTCATCTCGATTCGTTCATCATACTTCCTCGCCTGTTCTAGCAGATGTCTGATCTGCAAAGCAATCGCTATTCTATCAGTCAACAATATCATAAAGTATCACTCTTTAAAATATGAAATACATCGTTCATAAATGAATGATCAACTGCATCGAGAGGAACCTTTTCGGTTTGCGATGAATCTTTCCGAGTGTCTTCTTGCGAGTCAATCATTTGAAAGAACTCATCAGATGAGCTCTCGGCTGAATTCGCTGTGACCACCTTCTGGACATTCTGCTAAAATTCAAAACGAGTGAGATAAAGAGCTGGTTATAGAGGGGATTGAATGCAAACACGAAATTTATTCATCACATCACTTAGTTACGAAATCATAACCGAGGCATCACCGTTTCAGTGCGCACATGGTCAGTACGCGTCCTCGGATCACCTCCAGAATCAGACTTCATCCCAGCTTCAGAACCGCTAGATGTATGCTCCACTTCAGCCTCGATTGTATCCTCATCCTCAGACCACATCGAGTCGTCGTAGTCTTCCGAATCATCCATCTCCTCATCTTTCAACAAGTCGATCGTTTCCGATGCTAAATCAGTCTGCAATAAGATTCAGTCAAACCACTATCTCAATGCCAACACTGATTGCTAAGAAAATGTCACTGGAAGATGAACCTTATCGAAGAAACGATTTTGTTTGACGAACGGATCAGTCAAATCGAACAAATCACTGAATTTGATCGAGTCTTCGAAGCGTCTCAATATCTCGATATCTTTGGAACGCTTAGCACTGCAGCAGTAAATGGCTGCAGGATCGATCGGGTGTGCCTCTGTGTTGAAGATGTATCCACCAGCTGCAACTCTCTTCATTCGAGATATTATTCAATTATCATAAAAACAATGAAATACCATCGAGAATGCACGGTCCATTCAAAGTCTCAACCACCCTCGATGTAGTTCCATCGTTATTCATGAAATTGTCTTCGTCGAACAGCAAATACAAATATTTGGTGGTTTCGGCGAGGAAGAACGATTCCATTCTGAAGAAACAACTTCGCTGCGATAATTGTTAACTGACTGTGAGAGTGACTGACTGACCCAGTGGCATGTTATTAAATAAAGCGAAGCGTAAGGGAAAGTAGATGCGAACAGACCTGTCCTCAACTGTATGATCATTAACATTCTCAACAGTCGCAAAACCACACGACGTCCGACAGCTGTGTTGAATTGCCTGAAATATCACATCAAACCCTTCCACTGCTATCAGTTCCTGTACGTGAGTGGGGCAAATGAATTTATCATTATTAAGATGTAATCATAAAAGATTCACTTAAATGAACTAAGCTCCATAATACAATCCCGACTTGATTCCATTCACAACTGAATAAATCATTCAAACCTCGAAATCAAAGCAACCGTTACATACCTCNGGATATCCGGAACGTTTGTGTACCTTGAATTTCATTGAGTGGTAATCAAATAACGCTGGCAGTTATAACGAAAAGGCTGAGCTTAACGATGGAATGTGAATCACATTCAAGTGAAAGAAGTAACATGTTGATTAGAATACCATACCGCTTCTTGACTTGGAATATTGTAAAATTCAGGTGGAAAGCCATATTGTTTAATGATTTGACTGTACTGATAGATCACCCGTTGGGCATCCTCTAAATTGCCAGTCAGCGCCAGTATGCCAGGCCAGAAGGCTTCGAGCGACTGGAATATGGGCAGTGATACTTGACCTTTGGCCATTGACACCCACATGAACCAATCGTCTTTACGCATGTGTTTGTTCATCGATTTGACGTATTCTTAATTGATTCAGAATTGACGAATATCTCAGAGTGTTGGGTGAATGATTGAAATGAAACGAAAGAGGTACGATTGAACTGATGCATGAGACGTGGTCGTTGGAACAGTAACGCTCCTTTGGCTAGATATTCGAAGTATGAGTCGACGCCTGCACCTATGCCTGCGTCTGTTGCCGTCCACACACCTTCAATTATACGTCACTGAGGGTAATTCTATCCATAGAATGCATCACAAAACCGAACCACAACAACTACTCACCCGTTTGAACGTTTATATGATTTCCAACCAGACCAAGTCGCGAGCGTGACTTCCATAAAGCATCCAATGCTTTCAGTGCCACACGTTCATAAATGGGATTGCCCAAAAACAAAATCTAATCATTGACTAATTAACACTTAACTGCCATAATAAGATGAGTCAAATACGATTCCATCAACACCATAAATAAACCTCGAACTCACCAGTAATTCTCGACAACGAACCGAACTCCAACAGCATCGTGCCCACACCCGCTGTACACGTTATTGGTGTCTCATAATAATGAACACCATACCTGCACAATGCGCATATTACAAAGTACGATGCGATTCAGAAAGTGATCAGTGAATAGAGAAATACATCAAATTGCTTGATGAAGCCCATAACCCACCTCAAATTGACAGTACCAAAAGGCATTCCCGTATATGTATTGAAGGCTGGCAATAATTTTTGAGCGAATCTTTCGGCAAGCCGTAACAACGGACCTGAACAAGGCCAGCCTGGTTCTAGTTGTATACCTGAAAGTAATTTCAATCAGTCAGCTAGCAATACCAAAAGCGACACTAAAACTGACCGTCCACTCTACCGGACAGCAAATGCGCACTCAACAATCCACCCACAACACGAATATTGGTCTCGAACACAGAAACGTTCACATTTGCATCGATCTGCAAAATATCACAGATTCTCAATTGTCCGTTGTATTA